AAGTAATACTGTCTGTGCAAAAAAACAGCAAAAAAAGTCCACTTGAAAAATTCTGACACTAAACCTCAACATACTCAAATGTTTTTGAATTAATGGACTAGCATCAGAGGCTTCATGTTTCTGTACTGGATTATTGCACAAACTGCCTGACGGATTATAATTAGCTTTCAAACAAGACTAGAGGTCATCAGTGTCAGACTCAAAATGAGACCACTTCATTAATTCAGTTTTTAACCAGACTTTAAATGGGAGCTCCTGGAAAAGTTATTCTGTGTTGTAAAAATGAAAATATTGCATTTTTATTGCTGAAGAACCAGAACAAGTGCCCTAAGTAATCAATGCACGACCTCCTGCTACCCNTATATATATATATATGTGCAGGCGGAGCCTGACATCTGTCGTCATCACGTCACCTGCCTAAAGGCGTGATTAGAGGTGGCTTCAGCCAGGACACGCAGGGGCGTGGTTCCCATACATGATGTTGTACCTCGTTCCTTTCCTTCAGGGAACAGTAGTTATATGCATAACATTACGTTTCATGCTCCCTGAACCACTCCTTCACAATAAGAGCCCCATGAATCCTGGCACTGTCATCTTGGAATATGGCCGTGCCATCAGGGTAGAAACAATCATTGATGGAATCACCTGGTCATTCAGTAGATTCAGGTAGTCAGCTGACCTCATCCTTTGATCTGAACCTAGACCTGACCACCTGCAGAGACCCCACATCATAGACCTGCCCCCACAGGTGTGTACAGTAGCAGGATGTCCGCAGGTCCTTAAAAAGTCTTAAATTCACATATCTTAAATTAAGACCTTAAAAAGTCTTAAATTCACATTTCTAAACTTAAGACCTTAAAAAGTCTTAAATTCACATATTTAAAATTAAGACCTCAAAAAGTCTTAAATTCACATATTTAAAATTAAGACCTCAAAAAGTCTTAAATTCACATATTTAAAATTAAGACTTTAAAAAGTCTTAAATTTGACTTGCTAATACCTGCAGATACCCTGTAGGTACCATGATGGCTGCATCACTTCACCTGCCTCTGTTCTTACCCTGATGGCCCGTCACTCTGGAACAGGGTAACTCTGACCCATCAGAACACAGGACCTTCTTCCATTGCTCCAGAGGCCAGTCTTTATGCTAACTAACAAACTGAAGGGTTTTTTACAGTTAGCCAATGATTGGAGCCTCCTCAAACACACTGACATCTTTTCCTCGACCAAAGATGTGTCTTTCCACATGGCTGTTTAAGAAAAGAGAAACAACTCATTGCACCAGTTGTGGTTAATAACTTGTTGCAGCTGAAAGATGCAGGCAGTAATTATCCAATAGGAGGCTTGTACCTGTTTGTTTAGTTAAATCCAGGTGGGAACATATTTAATTTGTGCAGGCTGTGTACTTTCTTGTGCATGGTTTGTAAATGTGCGTTCCAGGCCGTGCACAATAATGTGTTGTTTAGCTCTAGCCACATATATTTGTTACCAACCTGGTCACCTGGTCTGATGTATCAGTGTTTCCCTCAGTGTACTACAGGCTGGTGGGCTGACAGAGTGGTTTGGACATTGCATCATCAACACAGTTCTGCAGCAGCCCTACCCCTGCTTTATTAATGTCATTATGTCCACTGTGAGATAGCTGGCTCAGTTAGACACATGTTACTGTTGGTGTGTCAGTGAAGGCTCACAGTGTGTCAAAGACAGGACTTTCTGTTACTTCATCAACCTGGAACATGATGTAATCATGTTGGACCTTTGCACACTTTAATCTTGGTCCACACTTTAGATCACGGCCACACACTACCTGCAGATTCTTCTTCGTTGGTGTTTGGCAGATTCTTCTTCCAGTCAGTGGACTGGGTCTTCAAACTAAGAATCAAAATATAAAAATTGAAACCATTAGTCCTGGTTCTAATGGAGACTCAAGACTCAGCCCTGCTCACGAGACAACGATGCAAACTGCGACTCAACGACTCCCTCGTACATTTGTCAAATCATCGTCATCAGTCACAGTTCAGAGAAGATCTACCTAAACAGGCACTTCTTCAAGTCTCTGCTTTGTCTAAATCAGCCCTTCTTCTTTGCTTTAGTGTGGAGTGCTTTAGATAGCATCTCCCTGTGCTCACAGCAGTAAGGATAAGTTAACTGGTTCATCACCTCTTCAGATGATTATTCAGACATGCTCCATCAGTGTTTCCTCTGCTTTCGTCTCTAGTATTTCCCCCGTTTGACTTTTTAAGAAGGAACAGTGTACAGGCTGCACGTCTCTTTCTAGTGTTTTATGCCCTTACACAATCAGTTTGTCCCCACAGCTTTTCTTGTGAGTTTTTCCTCACAACACAAACACAGGTTGAGATAGCAGGGATTCAATGAGAAGAGCTTGACAATCAAAGCAGATTGCTGAACACCTTCAGGCCCTGCTCCAGGGAAGCTCTTTCTAGTTTGTGTTGAGGAGAATGTGTGATTAAATTAAATTGGTTAGAGCAAAGCATATT